TTAGACATACCTAATTGTTTAGCTTGTTCACCCATCTATCCGTCCCTATACCCATGTTTGCTTTCCCTGACAACTCAGTATTGTATATGCAAAGGGAAGAACATGAATTTTAGACATTGAGTTTCAAGTAGTGTGCAACACCCACATGAAATGTCCAATAGGAACTAGAAGTGTAGGAGTCTGGGGTAAGAAGTGAGACCTGTCTTGGCAGCATTAAACAATGGAAGTCATAAGACTGACAGGGAACAGAGGAAAGTACCAAGGCCTGAGCTTCAGGACTGTCTGTAATGAGAGGACAGGAGTGGGGAGAGAAACCAGGGGATGAAGGGCTAGAGATGTGAGGGGAAAATTAGGCTGGCTTGTGCTGAGGAAGCCATGGGGGAGAGAATATGGTTAGAAGTATAGCTTCCTTCAGAAAGGTTTAAGAGAGTGAGGGCTGGGAGGAATGATAGTTCTTGATTTTATCTGACCCTCCAGGGAAAATCCTCAGTATCCTTAGGTTAATGCCTTTATGGAAGAAGGGTAAGAGTTGGTGTGTGGAAAGATGCCTGGGTCTTCTTTGATCCCGTCTTTCAGAATATAGATCTTATGGGGCCAAGGGCCGGGCTTGCCCCACTCACAGCTTTCTTTCCCTCCTCAGCTCCACTTGCTTCCTTAGTTCCTGCCCTTCCCCAGGTGGGTAACTCAAGAGATGATGCAGTAGCAACTGTGCTTCGGATGGTGAGGTCCCAGGTGAGCTTGGTTCTTTTTGTCCTTCCTGAGTTCCCATCTGCGTGGCTCAAGAATGGCTGCATCTAATATGTTGGGCTTTGCCCCATTCTGAGACCCCCTGTAGCTTCCCTGCCTAGTTGCTTCCCGTGCTGGGTTTCTTTTGCTGAGTTAAATAGACTGTATCTTGGCCTGAACTTGTCCTCTTAGATGTCTCCCAGCTCTCCCTCTCTTACTGCCTTTGCCTTCTTTACCCCTGATGACTCTGCCCTTCCTGGTGGGTGGGAATGTTCCTGAGCAATGGAAGCTTATCATTCCAGGAGTCAGCAGCATACAAGGACCTGTCTGTGGATTATACTCAGAAGAAGTGGAAAGGTCCGGCACTCACTCAGAGAGCCCTATACCGGAATATGATGCTGGAAAATTATCACAACATGGCCTCATTGGGTAATGATTCTGTTCCCCAGTAACACAGAGTCTGCATTCCTTATGCTTTCTTTGCTATATTCTTTTTTGCTTCTAATTTTCATTTTGAAAAATAGATACAGAAGTTCAGAAAATAGTATAAAGAACCTCTCTGTATCTTTCACCCAGCTTTAATAATCTGTATTCTCTTTCTTCATTGTTATTGATTAACATAGGTTGGTTGGTTGGGGTTTTTTGAGTTGTAAGAATAGAGTCACACAAGTTATTATAAGTAACAAGTTATAGGTTATAAGACTTCAAGGAATGGGGGTCCAGAACAAACCAGTTAAGTAGACTACACTGTGGCAGTAGGACCTCATGGAGACTGGACCTTGAGCCAGGGTAGTGTGGGAGCCTCAGCAGCAAAAGTAAATGAATCTTTATGCCAGTGTTGCACTGGGAATGTAACTCAGCTTTTCCCTGCATATCTGTTTTCCTTCTCTTCTCACTGCTGTCCAGTTTCTTCACTCTGAATCTGTTATTCCCCTCATAGCTCCATCTGAATTACTGTTTCTCTTTCCTTATAATTTCTGTGTGGCTTCTAATGGCTTGGCTTCTCTCCATACATCATTTCCATTTCAGCTCCTGCTCTTAACTGTCTTATTTTTATTCCTACTTCAGTTAGAATTTCCTTAGAAAAGGACTTCAATTAGTTAAGTCATTAAATATCATCTCTGGGCAGAGCTTTGACCTCAGGCCACACCAGGGTTTGTAGACTAGACTACAATAAGCTACTTTTGGGTCTGCATGCTTGTTGTGGTTCAGTCACCTGTGGTCCATCATGGGATGAGCAGAGTCACTTGGCACAAACTTCTTCAGCAAAGACTGGGTCAGGGCATGCCCTGTGATTGTCAAGTCTAGTATAGTAGCCAACTCTGGAGAGGATGGGCTTAGGAGTTAGAGACCCAGACATTTCCAACTTCCTACATACTAAAATAGCACATGATGGCTTGTGGTCCTCTTGAGAGCAACCAATATTTTCATATTTAACTATGAATGACCATGATTACTATCTTCTCCCAATCTTTGTTTTTAGTCTCCAGAATTCAAAAGCAAATGTGTAGCTGTTCAGTTTCCTTATCATTGTAGAGAATCAAGATCCCAAAGATGTATTTTGATTCTATTTTAAGTCATTGGTACCTTTGTTAATTTTCATGAGTATAGTAGAGTACTAGCTCCTTTCAGTCCATTGCTCTCAGAGCCAAGGGGATTCCCACTTTTAGACCTCTGCTCTCTTCAACACTGTTCCCCAGCATTTGCCATTTCTTATTTTTAGAACCCTTAGCCTCTCCAAATCTTATCACTGCCGTGTCACACCACAATCATCCCTTTTGTATACTTCTTCCTAATGGTACTCTAATAATTCTCACAACTTCCATCTTTGCCTTCACCGTTTCACATATCTAACTTGAGGTGTTTTCCACCCTTCTCTTTCTTAAACATGTTTTCTGAAAACACTGGAACCATATAATGCCATAATTAGAAAATACCTAAGAGTTCATTGCTTTACTGAGGAGATAAGCATTTAAGTGACTTCTGTAAGATCACACTGTACTTTGCAATCTGGTCTCTTGCCTCATCAATTGCCATTCTGTCTTGGCTATGCTGGCTCAACAGCTGTCTGTGCTATTTCTTCTTCTATTCCACTGACATTTTCTGTCCCTGTTTTTTCTGTCCACAAAGAGCACCTGAGCTATTTTCTTTCCTGTTCTCATTATGTCACCTTATTCTTTATCCATAGTGTGAAGTTGTCTTCATGTACATAAAAACCAAACCAAATTCACTGCCTTTGAGTTGACTGTGACTCATAGCAACTCTTCTTTGGGTTTCCGAAACAGTATCTCTATGGAAGTAGATTGCCCAGTCTTCCTTCGGAGGAGTGGCTGGTGGGTTTGAACCACCAGCCTTTTGGTTAGCAGTCAAGTGCCTTAGGCACTACACCACCAGAGCTAAGTTGCTTTATTCTGTTTTCTCAACAGGACAAGAAATGAGTAAAGGTTGTTTTCTTCCTTCTTTTCACAGCAGGTGAAAACAAAATGGAGAGTTCAGAGTTGACTGTAAAGAAGGAAATTTCTAAGGGACCAGGGTCATCTGATAAGACATCAGGAGAACTCCATGGGATGGTTCCTGGAGCACTGGAGGCTGGAGATGCCTGTGAAGATACTTTAGAGAAGCTCTCAAATGAAGAAGGGAGCAGACTAGGAAGCAGTTTCATGGAAATAACAGATGAAAATAAAAAAAATCCCACAAAAGACAGTTGTGAGGAATATAAGGAACTTGGGGAACATTTTACTTTTTCCTCTAGTCCTGCTGAACATCAAGGAGTTCTGAAGGGACAGAAATTCTATCAGTGTGATGAATGTGGCAAAGCTTTCAGTCGGAGTTCACACCTCATTGGCCATCAGAGAATCCACACTGGAGAGAAACCTTATGAATGTAATGAATGTGGCAAGACCTTTAGACAGACCTCTCAGCTTATAGTTCATCTCAGAATCCACACGGGGGAGAAGCCCTATGAATGCAACATGTGTGGGAAAACTTACCGGCACAGCTCCCATCTCATTCAACACCAGAGACTCCATAATGGAGAGAAACCATATAAATGTAATGAATGTGCAAAAGCTTTCACTCAGAGTTCCCAACTCATTGACCACCAGAGAACTCATAGTGGGGAGAAACCTTATGAATGCCACAAATGTGGGGAGGCTTTCATTCAGAGTAAAAGTCTTGTCCGACATCAAGTATTCCACATGGGGGAGAAACCTTATAAGTGTAGTGAGTGTGGGAAAGCTTTCTGTTCCAATAGGAATCTCATTGACCATCAGAGAATCCACACTGGGGAGAAGCCTTATGAGTGTAATGAATGTGGCAAGGCCTTCAGTCGGAGTAAATGTCTTATTCGACATCAGACCCTCCACACTGGGGAGAAACCATACAAATGTAGCGAGTGTGGGAAAGCCTTTAATCAGAACTCTCAACTGGTTGACCATGAGCGAATGCATACTGGAGAAAAGCCTTTTGAATGTAGTGAGTGTGGTAAAGCATTTAGTCTGAGTAAATGTCTTATTCGGCATCAGAGACTTCACACAGGTGAGAAGCCCTACAAGTGCAAAGAATGTGGAAAATCCTTCAATCAAAACTCACACCTCATTATACACCAGAGAATTCACACTGGTGAGAAACCCTATGAATGTAATGAATGTGGCAAGGTCTTCAGTTATAGCTCTAGCCTTATGGTACATCAGAGAACCCATACTGGGGAGAAGCCTTATAAATGCAATGACTGTGGGAAAGCCTTTAGTGATAGCTCACAACTTATTGTGCACCAGAGAGTTCACACCGGAGAGAAACCCTATGAATGTAGCGAGTGTGGGAAGGCCTTCAGTCAGCGTTCCACTTTTAATCACCACCAGCGAACTCACATTGGAGCAAAGCACTCAGTTCTGACTCAGTCAGTTTCTTAAAGTATGGTTCTCCAAAGCAGAGATCAATGTACTTTTATTGGAGTGAAGCTTTCTCTAACTCTTGATCTCTTTGGAACCACTAATTACAAGTGGGCCTTTCCCTAAATGTTTTCCCTTAGGTCACTAAAGTGAAAGAATTGGAGTGACTTAGTGCAGCTCTACCTACTCTTGGGAAAATAAGGACCATACATTTCATTACTTTAGCATTCCTTTTTCTATTTTTTTAAAAATCTGTTTCATTTCATAGCTGTACATCTCATAATCAGATTGTGTGCTTTTCAAGGACAGAGATCCTTCTTCTATTCCATCTTCTCTATTTCACAATTCACATATAATCATTCTCCAACACAGTTTCATTCTTTCCTATCTCTTGGCTATGGCTCTCCCAATCTGCTTTTTAAACTTCTAGCCTAATCTACCCTAATCACTTTCTCTACCTAGAAAACCTTTTCTTCTTCCTGTTTGGTAATCTGTATCCCTTATAACCTTCAAGATTGAGCTCCTTTCTGAAAGACTTTCTTTTTAATTTCTCTTAAACGTCTATTGATTTGACCTCAATGATTTTAGTTAGCTGGTGTTATAGTGTGCAACTGTTAAATTGCCTTGTAAATTATTCTCAACTTGATGCACATGTATTGTGGGCTCGCTGAGGTTGGTTATAGTATCTATTTGTTTTAACACATAGGTAAAGATTTGTACACACTAGTTGTTAAGTGCATTTTTTCTACTCAGTTATTAAAATTAGGCATGATCTCCCCCTCACACACACCAAGGCTAAAAGCATGTAAAAATGGAAATGGCATCCATCTCATCATAGGCTATCATATACAAAGGTTCCTTTTATGTCTTCTGCTTGGAAATCTCAGTACTGTTGCTTCAGCAACAAAGAACTAATGGGTTTGTGTGTGAGTGAATGTGCGAGTGTGTATCTAGGTACTGGGGTGGGCAGTCATGTTCTGCGGATTGGTACTTTGCCTTGCATGTTGACTCCAGTTCTGAGCTACCTTACTACACCCTGCTTCCTCAATAAACAGGTTAAGAGCAGAGTCAAAAGTTTACTGCAAAGAAGACTTGACTTTCATGGCCATGGTAAAGATGGTTGAAAATCCCAGCTGAAGCATTCCTGGATGATTAGAATTCGCAGTGATGATGTCTGTGGCAGATAATAGAGTTGAAACTAATGTGGTTGAGCAGGGGTTGTTCACCAATTTGTTTTTCTTATCAACTAGTCCTATCTACCTGCAACTGCCATCATTTTCAAGATGGGAGGTATACTCTTAATTATTTTCCAAGCTGTCTTTTATTCCTCAAAAGCAAAAGGAACAGGAAATCTTCAGAGGAGTTCCTCTCCTTCTACAGTCATTTTGGACGTGAACTTGAATGGCTTTTCCTTCCCACTCTTGTAGTAGGGGCCCAGAGCTGGGACATCTTTGTCTCTGGTGTTCAGTCCCTGCTCTTCCCATCTCCCAAACTTCCTCTTAACAGGAGGACAGGATTTGCAGTTTTCCAGAAGTGGAAGAGTTGGCTAGAGAGGCAGTAAATATCTTAGTTATCTAGTGGTGTTAGAAGTACAAGTGGGTGGCTTTAGCAAACATTTATTTTCTCACAGTTTAGGAGACTTGAAGCCCAAATTCAGAGTGCTGACTATAGGGGAAGGCTTTGTCTCTGTTGGCTCTGGAGGAAAGTCTTTGTCTCTTCTGAGCTGCTGCTCCTTGGTGATCTTTACGTGGTTTGGCATCTCTCCCCCATCTCTTCTCTACTAGCTTATACTCAAACGAGATTGAGTCAAGGTAAGATAAACCCTATACTAATCTTGCCTCATTAACATAATGAAATCCATTCTCAAATGTGATTATAACCACAGGCATAGAAGGATTTACAACAAATTTTGGGGGGACATGGTTCATAAGAGGCAGTGTTAGGTATGTAACCTGGAGGGGATAGATTTTGTGAGTTATAGTTGACAATAGAAAAGAAAGGGAAGAAGAGTTGAAGCTCAAGAAAATAGGAATTAGATAAGATTAGAGGGAGGCATTCCAGACAAGATTAGAAAGAATGTTTACTGACAACCTAAAAAAAAATTACTGAGCCCAGGACACAATTAGAAATTTCCCAATTTTGAATATGTATTTTAAAATAAATTTCTGTTTTCAGGTGTATTTTTGGCGTTGGTTTGCCTTTTCCTTTAAAAGATGTACAGCTATGATTCTTAAGTGTTTTACTTGGGAGTTCTCAGATTGCAGGGAAGAGCCCAACTGTATCCCTATATGACTCTACACATGAGTCTGTCCCTCCAGCTCTTGAGTTGGACATTACTGGTTATGTCTTCAATTGGACTCCCTTGTATGTTGGATTCTGCAACATGGTTGTCTGCTCATCAGCTACCACGCTAAGCCTCTGGAGGGTGGGAACCAGCACTATTCATAATTACTGCCTCACTGCCACCACTGTGGGAGCTCTCGTGGTGTAGTGCCTAAGGCATATGACTGCTAACCAGAAGGCTGGCTATTCAAACCCATCAGCCACTCCTTGGAAGGAAGGGTGGACAATCTACTCCTATAGTGATACCCAAGGAGGGGTCACTATGAGTTGGCTCTGACCCAATAGCAGTGGTTGCATTTTGCCTTTACCATTTTGCATTTGTAGGTGTTCAGTGGGACACTACATGGTTTAAAATCAAGAAGGGAGTGTGTCAGGGTTGTATTCTTTCACCACACTTATTCAATCTATATGCTGAGCAAAGAATCTGAGAAGCTGGACTATATGAAGAAAAACGTGGTATCAGGATTGGAGGAAGAATCATTAACAACCTGAGATATGCAGACGATACAACTTTGCTTGCTGAAAGTGAGGATGACTTAGGGCACCTACTGATGAAGGTTGAAGAATACAGTCTGCAGTATGGATTACGTCTCAATCTAAAGAAAACAAAAATCCTCACAACTGGACCAATGAGCAACATCACAATAAATGGAGAGAAGATTGAGGTTGTCAAAGAATTCACGTTGCTTGGTTCTACAATCGATGCCAACGGAAGCAGCAGTCAGGACATTAGACGACATTTAGCATTGGGAAAGTCAACTGCGAAGGAACTGTTTCAGGTGCTGAGAAGCAAGGATATCTCCTTGAGGACTAAGGTGCGCCTGACACAAGCCATGATATTTCCAATCACCTCGTATGCGTGTGAGAGCTGGACAGTGAATAAGGAAGACGAAGAAGAGTTGATGCTTTTGAGTTGTGGTGCTGGTGGAGAATGCTGAAAGTACCATGGACTGCTAAAAGAACTAACATCTGTCCTGGAGGAAGTGCAGCCAGAATGCTCCTTGGAAGCAAGAATGGCCAGACTTCGTCTCACCTATTTTGGTCATGTTGTAAGGAGGGACCATTCCCTGGAGAAGGATGTCATGCTTGGTAGGGTGGAGGGTTGACGAAAGAGGGGGAGGCCTTCAACGAGATGGATTGACACGGTGGCTGCAATTACGGGCTCAAGTATAGCAGGGATTGTGGGGCTGGCGCGTGATAGGGCAGTGTTTTGTTCTGCTGTGCATGGGGTTGCTATGAGTCGGAAACGACTCGACAGCACTTAACAGCAACAACAAGGTATTCAGTGAAAATGGCTGTCCCAACTTCCTGAAAAGTATGCAGTCTCTTGCAGGGAGGAAAAGGGTCTATGTTTGAAAGTCACACCTCAGTTTCCCTATTGGCTATTGATAGTATGAACAAAATTATTTTTTATCTGGATCCAGTTACCTTGCTAACAGTTAATTTTTTTTTTTTTAGTTTAAATTTCTAACTTATGTAGATACATAATAAATAATGATTGGTGTTTAGGTGCTGTCAAATATTCTCTGACTCATAGTGACACTATGCACAGCAGAATGAAATACTGCCCGGTCCTGTGCCAGCCTCACGATCCTTGCTATACCTGAGCCCATTGTTGCAGCCACTGTGTCAGTCTAGTTGAGGGCCTTCCCTTTTTCATTGACCCTCCACTTTACCAAGCATGATATCCTTCTCCAGAGAACTGTTCCTTCTGACAACAAGACCGAAGTAGGTGAGACGAAGTCTGGCCATTCTCACTTCCAAGGAGCATTCTGGCTGTATTTCTTCCAGGACAGCTCTGTTAGTCCTTTTAGCAGTCCATGCTACTCTTAGCATTCTTCAGCATCACAAGTGAAAAGCATCAACTCTTCTTTGGTCTTCCTTATTCACTGTCCAGCTCTCACATGCATAGGGCAATTGAAGATACCATGGCTTGGGTTAGGCACACCTTAGTCTTCAAGGAGACATCTTTGTTCTTCCTCACTTGAAAGAGGTCTTTTGCAGCAGATTTGCCCAATGAAATACGTTGTCTGATGACTGCTGCTTCCATTAGTGTTGACGGTAGAAACAAGTAATGTGAAATTCTTGACTTTTCAAGTAATAGTGAAAATTCTTTTCTCCATCTATCGTGAAGCTATTTATTTTTGTTTTCTTAACATTGAGGTGTAATCCATACCGTAGACTGTAGTCTTTAATCATCAGTAAGCACGCCAAGTCATCCTCACTTTCAGCAAAGTTGTGTCATCTGTGTATTGCAGGTTGTTAATGAGTCTTCCTCCAATCCTGATGCCATGTTCTTCATATAACTCAGTTTCTTGGATTATTTGCTCAGCATACAGATTGAAAAAGTATGGTGGAAGGTACAATCTTGACACACTCCCTTCTTGATTTAAAACCATGCAGTATACCCTTGTTCGGTTCAAACAACAGCCTCTTGATCTATGTACACATTCCTCATGAGTACAATTAAACGTTCTGGAATTCCCATCTTCTCAATGTTATCCACAATTGGTTATGATCCACACGATCAAATGCTTTTGCATAGTCAGTAAAACATAAGTAAACATCTTTCTGGTATTCTTTGCTTTGAGCCAAGATCCATCTAACATCAGCTATAATATCCCTTGCTCCATGTT